CAGCTTGCTCAATTTTGCTGTGACGGACGGCCATACTGTGGTTTGTACCCGTTATATCAGCAGCAAGACGGACGAGCCCGCTAGTCTGTATTTCTCGTCAGGGACGAAATGGAAAGAAGGCAAAGACAAAGGTCACTTTAAGATGGAGCGCCACGACAAAGGAGCAGATATTGTGTTGGTGGCTAGTGAGCCCATCACATTCGAACGCCGTGAGCCATTCCAGGTCATCTCCTGTGATGTACTCGTGCTAATCTGTCCTTCTAGATAATTGGGTATCGGTCCCTGCGAACTCGATAGTCACGATCCACAAGCAGTCTGTCCTTCTACATCCCATTTTGGACGAATTCTACACTGAGGACATCAACCAGGATCGGTCTTCATGCTACGCCCTCTCCAAGGGCCTTGTCAGCACTGCGCCTGGGACAACGGTTCAGCCTCAAGAAGCAGACGGTTTGAAGGATCCCACTGTTAGTGGCAAGGGCACTAGATTGGACGATTTGGATGTGCGATTATCGAACCAATGCGCACTGTCGCATTGATCCGATAATTAGTCGCGTATCCAAAAAAATGGGACTTGCGTGATCGGTAAGTAATGGAGTTGTCAAGCATTTATTTTTGAGATATCACAATGGGCGCAATGAGATACCTATTGCCTGTTGTTGGGTTTGGATGAGGATGATTGGGAGAAATTCTTCTTTTGAATATGTCGCGAACTTTATTATTTCGGATCCATTCTTGGAATTTAATGTCAGTATGCAATAGAGTACAAGCGGTCATTTAGGCCTTAAATAGATGATTTGAAGTATTCATGTATCGTCCCCAGTGATGTTGGCATGCTTGAAATACTTCATGCCCACCCAGGCGACGACAACCCACACCCACGACATGACAGCCGTCAAAATAATCAACGCGGGATAGTATCCCACAATGGGCAATGTAGGATCATCCTCCAACTCTGGTGGAGCATAAGGCGTCTCGCCAACGTCCCAAGCCCAACTCCAAACTCCGAAACAACTGCCCATTCCCACCACGAAAACCAGCCAAGTCACGATCAAGATGATCCACCCCCACCACTCGGTCTCGGAGTAATCCCAGACAATTTCTTGGCTGGGCTTGAGGTCAACGACATGCGTGGCAAGGGGCGACTTGGTGCGATGCACAGCTCTATACGATGCGTCTGTCGGCAGAGCATAGTAGGAGTCCGAACTCGACGGGGGCGTCGGTATACGTAATCCCGCAGCACCGCTGGTACTGCTGGTAGAGGAGTTTCCAAAGGTAGAACCGATGGCAGCCTTGGCGTTCTTGACGCGAGGTAAGGCAATCATATCCTCATCATCCGTGCCAATCTCGTCTCCAAGCACGTTCTCCTTCGAGAGACCCTTCTGCGGCCGCTGGGATGCGGAGGCAGTCGGGGTTTCCCGCTGGTCATGCACGAGGCCCCAGCTGGCATTGTTCTCGTTTGTCTGAGCTGCTGCAGTTCTAAGAGACGTAGGTTGATCCTGCGTTGATACCGAATCGGCTACGGATGGCACCAGGACGTTTGTAGTCTGATCGTGTGGTGGCGCATTGCCATCCGCTCGTAACACGTCAATCGTCGCCCGAGTAGACTTCTTATCTCGATAGTCGAATCGCGTTCCCAGTAGCGCAGTTTTCCTTAGCGAGCCCCTTCTTCTTCGCGTTCTCCGTTGTTGTAAAGCGCTCGACATCGCCCTCCCACCCTGCAATCCGGAACCGAATTCCTCTTCATCGTGCTTATCACCGCCTAAATGCGATCGTTCGGTAGTGTGGTGCGTCCCGGTGTTCATTCGGAGAAAAGAGAATTTCGACAGCAGCGAGCCGGACGTGCTGCGCTTGTGTCCATTGCTTGTGCTTCCCGAGCGTGCCCTTCCAGAAAGCCGGTCATTGTTGTCGAGGGATAGTGTCACGTTTTTAGTGTCGCCTGCATCTTCCATTGGCGCAAGCCGGGCACAAGTGACCCGGTTGTAGATATACTAACATTCAATCCTTCGTTGCGCGAATTTGTACCCGTTCAGGGGTCACTCTGGGTGGAGATTCCTTCGGCGGATTAAAGTTGTGATGCAAAAGGCGAGTGCGGGAGGCAGATGTGGTGGGCCTAAGGCCAAGACTTCCGGCGCCAACCTTCTCCGCACCGCTCCACAATCCAGATGCATCGCCAAAACGATACTTGACTAAAAGGTCAACAAGCGGCCAAATTGATTCCTAAGTGAGCAGCTCAACCTTGAAGTTTGGCAGAACCATAAAGCCATATTTAAATACAAGAGCTAGCTACGATGCACAGACACGGCTCTTTCACTTATTCTAGATACAGGGTATGATTCAAGGCCACAAGTATTTCATAAGACGAGCATAAGGTATATATTCCAGAGCGGCAGAGACAGCGATAGGAGCCAGGGTGAAAGATGGCGGCTCACAAGAGACGAAAGGCAAGCACAATGTTGACTCACATGTATTGCAAGAAGAGCATAATCATAATTGTTTTACGAGTGTGCCGGACACCCGACCAAAAAATGAGGTGGCTGAAGGAATGAGAGCAAAATAGCACTATCAAGGAGAAAAGGCTTGCTGAATCGGCTCGAAATACATATTCGTCCAATGGAGAAGACAACATAGATGGAGAATATACGATACACGCCCAGAAGTAGGTAATTTATGAAGATGATAGTCAAAAGGTATCAAGTCGAGGACTAGGTAGGTGATGATAGGTACTTTTCGTTTGTTGAGAAGAAAAACTTGAATCAGAAGTCCCAAAAAGCTTCGCTCACAATCTGCATAGAATCATTCAAAGAACAGAGCAGGGCCTTGATGCAAACAAAGTGGACTTGGGGTATTGGTGTACGTAAACACACAAAATTTCATTTGAAAAGAAGCACTTGAGAATGGGGAACATGCGCTCGATAATCCACTTCATAGGCCAATCGTGAGACGAAGAAGTAAAGCCATAGAATGAGAGAAAAGAAGAGGAGATTTGCGGTGAAAGTATAGAGCAGAAAAGTGGGATAGTCCGTGAGATAGGGAGTGGAAAATGAAACCGAGTACACCAAATTTCTCACCATCGCTGTTGTAAATAGCTGCGCACCTTGTCGATCATCTGGCTGGGCTGCTGCAGAAAGGCCCATATACAGCATTATAGAATAGAGACAAGCTACGCTTGGTAGCCCCCAAAGCCATTTCCAAAGTTGCCGTTGTTTGGCTGGTTCCAGCCAGAGTTGGGTGTGGCCTGTCCGCGGCCGAAGCCCGCATTCTGGGGGCCTGGCCATATCCTTGGCCAGTCATTCCCCCCTGCTCCCAGCCTCGCCCAGCAGGAGTGGGGCCTATGATAGGATAAATTAGTCGTTATAACAAATTACTGCAAAAAAAAAATATGAAACGTACCCTGAGGGGTAATAGGAGCACCAGGGCCACCGTATTGAGGAAAGTATGTAGCTGGACTGGAGTTGAAAGGTGAACTGGGTTGCTGGCCGGAGAAATTGTCGAATTGGCCGGTAGGAGGACGGTCCTTACCCCACTACAACGGTCAGTAAAAGAAGCCTTAGAATAAGAACGAAAAAGGCGAGAGCAAACGTACGCTGCATTTCAGAGGACGTCCGTTAACATTATACCCATTCAATTGGCAAATGGCCATAGCAGCATTTTCGTGTGTATCCATCTTGATAAAGGCGAATCCACGGTCTGCTTGAAGGCGCGTCTCAAGTACATATCCAAAATTGTGAAAGAGAGGGATAAGGTCGTTTTGCGTAGTGTACGGAGTCAGATTACCCACGTAGCATGTAGTCTGCCACTGTGGGGTCTGCTGAACGACCATGTCGTAGCTTTGGACTCCATGCGTAGGGAAGTGGTGATGGCCAAAGGGTGTAGTGGGAGTCATGCCCATGGCCGCCATAGCCTGCTGTTGAGAAATAGAAGGCTGTCCCTTCTGGTTAGCCCAGTTGCAGCGAATGGCACGGGAACCGAGCCATTCACCGTCCATGGCATTCAGTGCTTTCTCTGCATCGGAACGCTCACGGAAGGCAACGAAGCCATAGCCACGGGAACGACCAGTCTTCATATCCCACATGACGCGAGCCTCGGACACCGAACCGAAGGCGGAGAAGGCCTGGAGCAGGATCTCGTCATTGACTTCGTTGCTTAGATCGCCGACGAAAATATGAAAGTGAGAAGAAGTATCTTCCTTGTTCGTGGAATTTGACTGATAAGCCCAGTTCACCCGAATTTCCTATATTACACTCAGTAATGGGACCACAAGGCGACGAGTTCGTAAGTATTCGAAAAATGCATACCGACTGGTGGATTCGACGGCCGTTGAGGGTCTGCATAGCCCTCTCAGCCGCGCCAGGGTCATCAAATTCAACAAAGCCATAGTTGTATCCTTTGCTGTTGAACTTTCAAAAGGTTAACATTGCATTTAAGGAATATCGCAATAGGGAGCGGTAAAGCTTACATTCTTGTCGGGGATGATCTTCACACTCTGGACATGACCGGTGGTCTCGAAGATTTGCTTCAGGATATCCTCAGTCACCCTTGGATCAAGTCCTCCAACGTACAGAGCTCTCTTGTTTGGCTCGGGGGCGGCCCGGCGCACATATCCACCAGCACTGGTCGGGGACATCATGCTCCCGGACATCGGGGACGTGATAGCGGTTGGGATAGGATTGGTGTTCTGAGGAATCACGACAGGCGGACGAGGCGGGGGTGGCATATGGGAAGGATTGGCTTGGCCGTTGCCCTGAGAAGAATCATACTGCTGACCCGAAGCAGACGATGCTTGCGGAGGCGGAGGTGGGAGGGTGGAAGACCCAGAAGTGGACATGTTCTCGGCCATTGTGGTTGATAACAGGGTAAAATCAGCAAGAACCGTCAAGCGATACAATGCACAAGTGGATCGGCGATGGAAGCGTTAAGCTGGGAGACGCTGTTTGTTGCTCGACGGTGCACAGCGTTTAGCAGTCAACAAAATCGATGTTGGTCGAGAAGGCGGAAAGCGACGCGGGGATCGAGGCACCGAAAGAAGCAAGATTCGCTAGATCAGGAAGATCGAAAGAGACGGCAGTCTTTCAAAATAAAGAATCGCTCACAAAGGAACTCTGTGATGAATTAAAATACGTTAAGTCAGGACGACTCGAACACGGCTCCTTTCAGCACTCAGCCCCAGCAAGTTTTTAGATGTGGTGGTAGAAAAAAAGTGTAAGATCCGGGTTTGACAAACACAAGTGATTGTCGGGAGAAGGGGAAAGAGACGAAGGACAAAGAAGAATAAAAGCGCCAAAAGGGAAAAGCGAAACAAAGAGAGAAAAAAGGAAAACAAGATCTCTGTGATCTTGACACCAACAGAAGCGCGATGGAGGAAAATGCGAGGAGTGAGATGAGATGGGAACAGGGGAAGAAGAAGAAGAAGAGATGTGATGTGATGATCTTTGGTAGGCTACTAAGATACTCTACCATACCTTTACTAACTAGTCCAAACGGGAGGAGTTTCTAACAGCTGGAGGAAAAGGACGACCAAAACTGTGGATGGGCAACTGGCAAAGAGCCGCCTGGGTGGGCGACATGCTAGTCCTGATGAGGTTAGCGTATTAGGATAGATGCCGCTGGTCATGAGAGGGCGCTTAACTTGACTCTATTTGGTCCTTTTGAATGAGCTCGATCTGGGCCGAGATTCTCTCAAGCACAGAAGGCAGACATTGTGTGGTCTGCAAGTTGAAGTTGAAGGTGAGCACTTCAAATGATACTCTGACCGAATGATTTTTTGTCATTGTATGTATCTTATGCATCATTGGTTTCGATCAATACACAGTCTTTGTCAGTTGTTTGTCCTAGACTCAGGGACGAGATACCCAAAAATGAGAGAACCATACGCATGCTGCCAGTATTGAACTAACTTTGTCGCACCCTGCAGGTAGTGCCCATCATTCGACAAAAATCTTCAGTTCATTTTAGATGAATCGGGGCGTTTGCCATCATGGAAACATCAAATTATTCAAATCCAGAGTCCCTTGCTGTGTTAACAGCTATGGTCAATCAGACGGTAATGTGGCATCTCTTCTCGCTGTCTTCGTAGGTCGACAATACTCACTGCTGACAGCTCGTTGAAATGGGTCGATTTTTTCGGGCTGGTGGCTCAACACAGGCCAGGGCTCGTTTCAAAAAGACGATCCCGGCGGCTCACGAACGTTTTCAGGCTGCACTCGACGATCTATCTGAGCAAATAGTATGTTTTTAACGTGACTTTTCTGCGGCATTTTGTGCTTCAACGGACAGCTATTGACAGACGGTAGTTTATCGCAAAGGCGTTTCTCGAAAGAGATTATGAGGAAATCAGAGCAGAGAAAGCAGCTCTACAGCCTGCTCAAGATGTGGCTATGGATGAGCCAAGCAGCAAGTCAGAAAATGAAGGCGCGCAAGAGCCGCCCCAAAAGATAGAGGAAGTGATAGAGACGAAACCGCTCGAATCCCAATTGGACGAAGAGCCTACTACCGCGCAAGAGCCTCTCACCGGCGATAAGCCGTCGCAGGAGACAGAAGGCAAAACTGTCAAGGTGGAAATGCAAGAAGGACAGTCCTCAGCGCCAGATCAATCAGTCCCTGGAACTACAGAAATCAACTTCGACTCCATGCTCAATGACAGTGGGGGTGGGCCTAACGAGTTCGATCTTCATCTCGATTTTGGAGATGATGATATTGGGAATCAGAATTTCCTGTCTGGCTCGAGTCTTGGAAATACAGGTATCGGCGGCGATATCGGCCAGGAGACCGATCAGTCGGGCGCTATTGCGTCGATGTTCTCTAAAGAGGGGGATAACCTTGGCAGTGGTCCTACGGGAGGCGATGCATTCGATTTAGAGTTACAGAAAACTGATGGATTTCCAGGTCAGGACCAGCAAGCGGGAGGACAGATGAGCAACAATGCGGACGATGTTATGGCGCCAGGGGAATCAAGCTTCGATGATTTATTCATGGAAAACGAGAACTTCGGTGGAGAAGGGCTTGGAGACCAGAATCTGCTCGGGGACGGCCTGATGAACATCAATGAGCTAGATGATAACTGGTTCACTTAATTAGCAGTCTTTGATAGACATTTGAAGAAATGCTATGGAACACATTCTCAATGCATTATCTATGGGGCACATATGCTTAGTAGATTCCTAGATCAATGCAGTGCGAGTAGCGACCATTTCGCAGCAGAAAGTGGAGCATTCTTGATTCGGTACCAACAGTAGGGATGTTGACACCCATAGCCCCATAAAGTTGTCTCGATGCCAACGAGGATCCATGCAAGGGGAACTGTGTAACAGACTAACATTCCGCATTCCGCACTCCACACTCCACCTACATTCTGTTGCAAATACGGATAGACTAACTAGCATGATAATTAACCATAACAATGACGTATGATCCGCTCGTTTCACTTGTTAGCGAACTACGAGCAGCCTAGGTTGGTATCATCAGCCCTATCTCGTACCTGGCGAGGCGGTAGACTCTTGGCGTTTGGGCCTCAAGCTTCTATTTCAGGCAGGGAGGGCTCGTTTCATGACCCGGTACCTGATACTGCTTAAATAGTGTCGGACAATCTACAGACTACGGGCTAGACAAGTCCCACCTCACCTGAAGCTATGATTGTGAGGTGGGGAGGTCGGCCTCTAGTGATGATATTAGAAGTATACACGAGATTTGCACTTGAAGGCTAGATCCAAAGAGTTACCAGACCAACAGCTCCGCTGGGATTCTCCAATCGCCCTTTTTTGATTAGCGGAGTTTATTCCCACTCTTATCCGGACGAAATATGCAAAAGATCAAATGATGAGGTCATAAGCGGCGTCCGGATCCCCACCGGCCGTGGTTGCCGGCGATCCTCATACTGAACTGTCCTTTACTGTGCCTCGGAGGTATCAGGTTCTTGGGTTCGGCTTGTCAGGCACGAATCTAGGATTTTTGCGAAGCCATCAAGGAGCATAGCCTCTGCTAGGACCCGGTTGTAATTGGTAAAGTAGATATTCAACTAGATAGAGTCTACCCCCAAATATGACAACTCGAGTTCGGCTGTGCTCTTTATCGTTGATTCTTGAAGGACCCATTACTCATATCAATATATTAAACATCTGGCTAGTGGTGCAAGGACAGCCAAGTATGGGGTATAGAAGAGTTAAATTGTTCATGTGTAGCGTGCCACAGGTACAGAATAATAATGATATCACTGATCGATTTGATCCCATCGTACTGGCAGAGATCGACAGGTGGGATTCATTTGAAGTTTCGAGCCCACGCATTTAGAACAATGATGAGATACTGGTACATCTTGATTTGTCCTCGCTGATAAGCTGCAGAGTGATGAGGAGAAAATAACAAGTGAACAAAAAGAATTTAGAGAGAAAAGAGGCAACGAATATGGACTTTGTACCTCTTAATGCCGGAATACCCGAAATATGGACATCATCTCGACGACGTCATCCTTCTAAGCCAGGACAAACTAGCGCCGGGGTTTTAGCAGCAACAAAGTCTTAGCAACTCCGTCTTGAAGTTGTGAACACTGAGGGGGATCACATGGAAAAAGATGGCTTACTGGAAAAAGCATCATAATCATGTAGCTCTTTGCGCATGATCTACATGACAGAAGCAGGAAATCTACCAGCGAAACACTGGACACTTGAGATATGAGTAGCTAGGAACCTGCCCCGAAACCCGCGCAAATGAAATCCGATGGAATTTAGGTTACAGATTGAGGGACGCCTGGTGATTGGATTTTCATTCTGCGTATGATCCGAACTCTTTTTCGTGGATCGTACGTGTACCTATGCCAACTGCCAGTCTGCCGGCTCGCCGGATCCATATCCAGCGACCTGGAGTGGTGGCTCGGTGGTATTCCGCGTCATCGTAGAGTTATGTACCATAGACTCGATACCTAATATAACATGAGGGTCTATCTTCTGGGTCCGACAGAAACTGCCAGACTATTAGGAGGTTCGACTTGTCTGATGACAATAATACCAAGACTTCATCTATCACCCAAGGAACGAACAAACGAACTGTTCCGCACCGCCTCACTGCTATCGTGTCTATTCCGTCACCTCTTCTGTTTAGGTTCTTGGGAATTTGCCATCCTGCAACTCTGTTTCGCTGGAGTGATTGCCTTGTACCTACCATAGAATACCCTGTCGCTCTTCCTTCAGTATTGTCTGTCGACCCTTGACAGCAAACTTCCTCTCTTTTCACCGATCCCCGCATCATCGGCCCTTCTGGCCTGCAATCGCGTTAGTGGTCTGTGGTGATCGTGATCACCAGGCTGTGCATTTCCCCTCACTCCACGCCGACGTAACCACAGAATAGCCGAGACACTGGAGAGTCGACTGACTATGCTTTTGGAGTGCTATCACAGACTCTTTCCGACTCAAAGCTGAAGTTCAGTCCAGCGATTCTGGGGGAACGCCTCGTTTCCGTTTCGGGCCAAAAATCAAGTGTGGCTCCTTGCGTGGTCGATCATCAGCCAAAGCAGCAAAAGCCCCAAAAAGTCTAGAGGCGCCAAAGGGAAAAAAGAACGAGGGAATAGAAAGGAAAATAGACGCACGACTCAATGCGGTGGGATTGCGCGTAAGAAACAAAAGCACAGCCATACATTATCATTTTATTCTCGCAAAATAAAATAATAGACCCAAAAAAAGAAAAAGAGGAAGAGATCATCCTTAATATTACTTGGGAGCTGCAGAACACGGGGTAAGTTTGTTGCTCTTTCTCTAACACTCTGTCACTCGCTTCACTTTCACTCTTTTTTTTTTTTTTTTTTTTTTCAACCCTCAGCCTATTTCTATCTTCGTCTCTGTTTCTTATCCACAAGCTCCTGGCTTCTGTATAAGATCACTTCGATGCCGATTTCATCCGTCTAGTCCATTATGCACTTGCCTCGGTATCCTTCAACATGACAGCTGCTCACCTCTCTCCCCTACAACAGGACCTGTCTAGGTCGGGAAACCCTGAGATTTTCCAATCACTCTCTGGTCTGTTCACTTCCAGATCAGAGAGACGTCGGTCCATTACTTCAACTACGGTCAACACTGATCTCGCGGTCGAGCAATTTCCCAAACAAAGCCAAAATCGTCGCAGTTCTATACTAAGAAGGCTGGCGGGGCCACGGGAGAACGCAAAGCGCTTCCTCCGCTTGGGCGCGCCGCCCATTAACTGCTCATCATCGCCGCCACTTACCAATACTACTTCCGCTACCGCTACCCACCCGATGTCTCGGACGGCGCGACCACGTCCTGTGTCCGAGATTGTAATATCTCCTCATGACGCGCAAATGTTAGTTTCTGCTGCAGCGGCGAGGAGAATGCGATCCGATTCTTCCTCCACGGTGTCTATGAGTTTAGGTCCGGCATCGGGGCAAGATACCCCATCAGCGTCGGACGCAACGGCGTCGTTCCCTCCTCTCCGCCATGAGAAGGTTGTCGCAACAGGGAGCGGTATCGCTGTCGGGATTGCGCTAACAG